ACTAGCTAGTCTCGATCGACGTGAACGGGGTAGCTGCACGCTCCGAGGAGGGGTGGAGCACTGGTGGATTCGGAGCGACGTAAGAACTTCTAAGTACGCGCTCGTGTGATAGCCGGTTTGGGGTGTCCAACCTCCTCAGTTGGGTATGTAAAAACACCACCCACTAAGCAAAGCTCATAAATCAACGATGGGTGCCCTAGACCATGTGTCGTCAATCCTCTCAAAGTGTGTAAGATGTTTTTGTGAATAACTTTGCCAACATCAATTGATAGGCGGCATTGAATGGCATAAATGAGGGTCGCCCGTTCTTTTGCTTTTGTTACTTCACTTAAATTGCTACTGGGAATAAGTTTGCTTGCTATTGGGAATAAGTTTGCTAGAAATGAATTGATGCCAAGCCTTACAACCCAAAGTCATAGTAGAAGCAGGGACGTTAATTACATCAGTCTCCGAACGTTTCCATGTAGTACCAGTTGTGGTCAAGACTTGAATAGCCTCATCAGGATCAACACCCTCGTCACGAAGTCTAGAGTACTCGTCATTTTCAATATCTTGCAAATGATAAAACCTGTTGATGGAGGTTCTATCAAACGGTATCCATTTACCCTGCACAAACACTCAAAAATCTCGATGCTCCTTCGCATTGGTGTAGAACTCCCTAACAACTGGAATCAGTGCCGGTCGTGGTTGCCGAGCAAACACTTCCCAGTTCCACTGACCTATTTGCTCTATCATATAATTTTCAAAACCACGTTCAGGGATACAGGTCTTGTGTACCACCAAGCTATTATATTGTTCAGCGGCCTCGACACTAATGAATTTGCTTCTGTCAAATGAGCTAGAAGAGGAGGCTGCGGCTTTAGATCTCTTTTAAGGTGGCATTGGACATGTGCAAGGGTAGAACAAGCAAACCATTAGCAAAAATAGTAGTAAAGGAAAATAAGGCAAGGCTTAAAATCCAGCCATAAGAGGGAACTATGGTCGAACGTGCAATAGATGTATTCTAAACCCAATTTCAATTCACGATCATCTAAATGGCAATTCCCACATAAGTCAATTAGCACAATAGCCAAAATAGCTCATTTATACCCAACTAAGTTCACCTAGGCAATCCACCAAACACTTTGAAGGCACCAAATTTCCACCAAAAATTGCCCATAATTTGGGAGTAATTCATGCCGCATTATTCGTACCACACATAAATTTCTTGACACCACAACAACGCAAGCCCTCCTCTTAACATAATTATCAAAAATAGGCACATAAAAGCAACAACTATCATGTAAGAGAGGAAAAAAAGGGAGCAAATATAATAGGCATACCTAGAATGGTGTTATGGAAACTAATTGGGATGGATGAATTCACACTTAGCAACAATGAGATGTGGAAAACAACAAGGGGGATTGGGAGGGAGGGCGAGAATATGTGTAATTGAAAGAATTGTGATGTGGGCGAGGTGATAAAATAAATTCAACCAAAAACATAACTAAATAAGGAAAGAGGGGAAGAGTGTACCTTGGAAGGGTTGAGGAGGAGATGAAAAGAGGTAAACTTAAGGGGTTTGGAGAAGAAGATGAGAGGGAAGAGGGAGGAGATGAGAGGGAAGAGGGGTTGGGAAGTCTCGTATTGTGGGGAGGGAGCGGGGGTTGAGGTAATAAGAAATAGAAAAGAAGTGGAAAAAATAAAAAAAATGTGGGGGGGGGGGGGGTTAAGGAAGCAGCATCTGGGCGCTGCGTTTCTGCCCAGAATGGGCAGTGCGCAGCGCTTCTTTTTGTAATTTTTTTTTATCTCACACTTTTCACACTCATTCATTTTCATTGTAGAACTCAAATTCTGCAATATGTAATCTTTATGGATTCTCCTACAAAAAAAAAAAACAAAAGAAAATGTTACTACGATAGCATAGATTATTAAAGGAAGAAAACAAAATCAAAGCAAAAACCAATAATCAAATAAAGGGTAGAGCTTGGGTTGCCTCCCAAGAATCGCTTCTTTTAAGTCATTAGTTGGATATAGTGCCGCAGTTATTCGGGAACAGCTAGATCATGACTCTCTTTAGAGGTGGGGAAATCTTCCACATAATGTTTGATGCGTTGACCATTTATTTTGAAATTTCCTTTAATTGGATGGTGTAATTCAACCGTCCCGTAGGGAAACACCTGAGAGACCGTAAAAGGACCGGACCATCGAGACTTCAATTTAGAAAATGTTTAAGCCTGGAATTGTATAATAGCACTTGATCCCCCACTCGAAAAATTTGTTGCCTGATGTTCTGGTCGTGCTACTGCTTCGTCCTTTCCTTATAGATGGATGCATTCTCATATGTCTCTCTTCTAAATTCCTCCAACTCATGTAGCTGTAGTACTCTTATTTCTCCAGCCTTTTTGAGGTCCATGTTTAGTTGCTTTAATGCCCGATACGCTCTATGCTCAAATTCCACTGGTAGGTGGCATGCTTTCCCAAAGACTAGTCGGTATGGGGACATTCCTATAGGTGTCTTGTAAGCTGTGCGATATGCCCATAAAGCATTGTCTAATTTTTTTGACCAATCCTTGTGAGATGCATTCACAGTGACCTCCAAAATTCTTTTCAATTATCTGTTTGATGTTTCCACCTGTCCACTTGTCTGAGGGTGATAAGGAGTGGCAATTCGATGTTGTACTCCGTACTTATGCAAAACTACCTGGAACAACCGATTGCGGAAGTGCGTTCCACTATCACTTATAATGGCCCTAGGTGATCCATATCAGTTAAATATGTGTTTCTTTATGAAGTCCACCACCACCCTTGCATCATTTGTAGGCAATACTTTAGCTTTTACCCATTTTGAAACATAGTCCACCGCAACCAGGATGTATCGATTGTTGTAAGATGATGGAAACGGACCCATAAAATCAACCCCCCAGGCATCAAATATTTCCACTTCCAAAATGTTGTTAAGTGGCATCTTGTGACGCGCTGATATGTTACCTGTTCTTTGACACTTATCGCATGACCTACAGAAACTGTGGCAGTCCTTGAACAATGTAGGCCAAAAAAAACCACATTGGAGCACCTTTGTTGCTATTTTAGTGGGGCCAAAGTGCCCTCCATAAGCCAAAGCATGTACTCGTGAAAGAATCGATTTCATTTCATCCTCAGGCACACATTTCCTAATGATTTGGTCCGTCCCTCTCCTATACACATTTGGATCATCCCAGTAATAGAATTTCGCTTCATGATTAAGCTTCTTCTTTTGCTGATAGGTGAGATCCGGATCCATATAGCCACTGGCTAAGTAATTAACAATGTCTACATACCACGAAGCTTTTTCTACCTGTAGTAACTGCTCATCTGGGAAGATCTCATTGATATTCATATCATCTGAATCCCGCTGTTGCTCTATCCTTGACAAGTGATCCACTACCTGATTTTCTGTTCCTTTTTTTATCACGAATCTCGATGTCAAATTCTTGTAGTAACAACACCCAACGAATTAGCCTTGGTTTCACGTCCTTCTTCTCAAACAAATACTTCAGAGCTGCATGGTCTATGTAAACTATCACCTTGGAGCCAATCAAATAAGAATGGAATTTGTCAAAAGCGAAAACAACTGCAAGCAATTCCTTTTCAGTTGTTGCATAGTTGATCTGAGCATCATTCAATGTTTTGCTAGCATAGTAGATAACATGAAATACTTTTTCATTACGTTGTCCAAGCACTGCCCCATTGCAAAGTCACTAGCGTCACACATGAGCTCAAAAGGCAATTCCCAATCTGGAGCCACTATCACATGTGTCGATGTCAATTTTTCTTTCAAAGTGTTGAAGGCTTTCAAACACTCATCAGAAAATTGAAAGGGTATATCTTTCTCCAGCAGGTTGCACAACGGTTTTGTAATTTTTTCCTAGTCTTGAATGAATCTTCTATAAAAACCTATATGTCCCAGAAAACTCCTGATCCCCTTTATTGAATTAGGTGGCTGCAATTTCTCAATCACCTATATTTTGGCTTTGTCCACTTCAATCCCCTGTGTAGAAATTTGATGTCCTAGTACTATTGCTTCCTTTACCATGAAATGACATTTTTCCTAACTAAGCACAAGGTTCTTCTCCTCACATCTTTGCAATACGAGAGCCAACCGCTCCAAGCAATTGTCAAAGGAATCTCCAAACATAGAAAAATATCCATAAGAACCTCAATGTACTTTTCTACCATGTCAGAAAAGATGGCCATCATGCATCATTGAAAGGTTACCGGTGTATTGCATAAACCAAAAGGCATTCTTCTAAATGCAAACGTTCCATAAGGGCATGTGAAGATTGTCTTTTCTTGGTCTTCTGGAGCAATTACTATATGATTGTATCCTGAATATCCATCCAAAAAGCAATAATGAGAATGTCTTGTCAACCTTTCCAACATCTAATCAATGAATGGCAATGGAAAATGGTCCTTTCTGGTTGCATTATTTAGCTTTCTATAATCTATGCATACTCTCTACCCTATCACTAACCGTGTTGGTATCAGCTCGTTGTTCTCGTTGTTCTCCACTCTGATTCCACCCTTTTTAGGTACAACATGTACAGGACTCACCCACGAACTATTAGATATGGGATAAATTATTCCTGCATCCAATAGTTTCAGCACTTCTTTTCGCACGACTTCTTTTAAGGTTGGATTCAATCGGTGTTGTCCTTCCACTGATGCCCTTGACCCGTCCTCCATTAGAATCTTGTGCATGCAAAGAGTTGGACTGATCCCTCTTATGTCAGCTATTGTCCATCCAATTGCCATTTTGTGTTGCCTAAGTACCTCCAACAATTTATTCTCCTCTTTCCTTGTCATGTCATTTGCAATAATTACTAGCAATATTGAAGATTCTCCCAAATATGCATAACGAAGATGGGATGGTAAGGGCTTAAGTTCAAGAGTGGGTGCCTTTTCCACTTAGGGTACCGGGGGAAAAGGATTGTCTCTTAGAGATTTATATTGACAATGCCTTTTTCCTATGGGTTGCTCGGCTAAGTTGACAACACATTCAGCTTTTCCTGCATTTGTTGCTTCCAATTCGTAAGTTCTACCTCACAAAGATTTGTATGATGCTCTCTATCAAATGTAACAGCCACAAGCTCTTTAAGAACATCAACTTGGCAGCAAGTGTCGGAAGTCAATAGGTGTTTCATTGCCTTGAACACGTTGAATATGACTTGCTAATTGTCCACTCGAAGAATCATTTTTCCATCATACACATGAATCAATGCTCTCCTAGTAGCCAAGAACGGTCTTCCCAAGATCATAGGAATATTTGAGTCCTCTTCCATGTCTAAAATAATGAAATCAACTAGAAAAATAAATTTGTCAACTTTAACCAGCACATCTTCAATAATTTCCTTTGGTCGTTTGATCAATCTGTCGGCCAGTTGCAAAGAGATTGTTGTAGGTTTTGATTCTCCTAATCTAAGAGACCTGTAAATAGAGAGAGACATCAAATTGACACTGGCACCTAAATCACATAAAGAATGTTCAAAGAAATTAGAATCAATTGTGCAAGGTATAGTGAAACTCCCTGGGTCTTTTAGTTTAAGAGGTAGCTTTCTTAATAGTATTGCACTACACTCCTCATTCAAGTATACTGTCTCATGTTCTTCTAGCTTCCTTTTGTTAGATAGAATCTCTTTCAAGAATTTTGCATAGCTGGGCATTTGGGCAATTGCGTCTGCAAAAGGAATATTGATGTGCAGTTTCTTGAAAATCTCCACAAACTTGGCAAACTGATTATCTAACTTCTTTCTTTGTAACCTTTGAGGGAAGGGAATTGGTGGCACATAAGCCTTCACAGGGCTTGGTACTCTCACTGTAGGTGTTTCTTTCCTTTCGTTTTCCTTGTCAGTTGGTTGTTCAAACTCTACTTCTTTCCCAGCCTCTTCACCTATTATTTCCTTTTCTTTTCGCTTAGGTCTCTTCACATGTATTTCTGGAAGTTACACCCCACTCCTGGTAGTAATAGCTTGCACTTGCTCTTTTGGATTGACCATTGTGTTGCCTGGCAATGTCCCTTGTGGGCGTTCTGCAAGCTGTTGAGCTATCTGCCCAATTTGCGTTTCCAACTTCTTGATTGATGCTTGCTGATTCTGAAAGTTAGTGTCAATCTGCTGAAACACCTTGTCAGTCTTCTGCATGTACTGGTTGAACATCTTCCCCAAACTTGGTTTTTTCTCCTGTTGGGCATTATTTGAACTGTTCCCTTATTGATTATCCGACCATCTGAAGTTTGGGGGTTATCTCCATCCTGGGTTGTACGTTTGACCAAATGGATTAAAATTTCGAGACCCATTCTGAATGAAATTGATATGCTCGTCGGGATAGCCTATAGATGTGTAGTTTTCTATCAGATGATTAGCCCCACAGTTCTCGCATGATGGACCAGCTGTCACTGCATGTGCTCCTTTCATTTGTGATTTCACCAATAACTCTACTTGTTTTATCAATGCTACTTTTTGGGCGTTGGTAGCTGCTACGCTGTCTAACTCATACATTCCTCCTATCTTCGGTGGCGCCACTCTTTTCGATGAGAACATGGAATGTGTAGTAATTCCATGGTTTGGGCATTTTCTCATCAACTCATTAAACCTATTCCATGCTTCGTGATAGCTTTCTCCCTCTTTCTGTTGAAAAGTTTGAATTTTCAATCTGATTTTAGCTACCCTCGCTGGTGGGAAAAATTTATTACAGATCTTCCTGATTAGTTCTTCCCATGTAATAATGCTAGCGTGAGGCTCAGTATCTAACCACTCCAATGCAGCGTCTCTCAATGTAAATGGGAATAGTCATAGTTTAATAGCATCTTCATTGACCCTCGGAGCATGAAAGTTCTGACAGTTTCTGTGAAATCTAGAGATATGTGTGTTTGGATTCTCTTGAGGTAACCCGTAGAATTGCAGGGTGTTGCTCATCAAGTTAATCCAATCTGGCCTAATCTGGAAATTATTCACCCCAAAATTTGGATACACGGTACTGGAGCGCATGGGTGCTACTATAGGTGTCAGGAACATTGATACTGGCAAATCTCCTTCATTTATTTCCCTTCGTTCATGCTGTTGTTCCGGTGGTGCCACCACTCTTGCAGCCATTTGCCCAATCGGCTGAATAGGGATATGGATTTGTTGATTGTCAACCATTTGATGTGGCTGTTTTTGTTTGTGTTCCTTGCGTCTTCATCTGAAGGTACATTCTATCTCTGAATCAAACGGTTCAAGATCGTCGCCTTGGGCACGAAGCATACAATGAACACAATTTTCTGTAAATAAAATAAAAATAAACAAATCAAATAACAATCAAAATAAAAAAATAAATTAAGAGTAAAAGAAATAGTCCCTGGCAACGGCGCCAAAAACTTGTTGTAAAATTTTGTTTCGCAAGTGTACGACCCGTAACAAGTAACAGTGGACCTAAGAGACCGGTTATCGATCCCACAAGGACTATTTTCTAGCACTTAATTCAATCTTTCTTTAACTACTATTTGACAAATACAAATCAAATGTTATAAAATCTGGGTTTTAATCTAAATTCTAGAAAATAAATGAATGTTCACACGATTGGTTGGAGAATCAAATAATGAATGGATGTTAGGGTAGAATAACTTCACCAATTGATTACCTTTACATCTCAAATTAAAACTCAATTCTAATGTAGTGCTCGGTCGAATTCTCCTATTGTATTCAATTTACCCCTCTCAAGTTTTCATTGAGCTTATTCTACTAATTAAATCTCATATCTCTATGCAAATTCAACTTAGTTAAACGAGTTCTATGTCTTAGGAATTCAATTATGAACTCAATAAATGGTATAGGTATCTCTACTCGTTATACCAATGTACTGGATTTTACTACATGGTCTAAATCCTAAACTCATATCTCTATTTGTAAAGAATTCACAAAAATCATCAAATTATTGATCAAATAATTTAATGCATTCAACTCATAGCAAAATCAACACATGGAAGAATTAAAAACTGAAAGTCTTAATAAGAAAATGTAAAAGATCCCAATTGGTTACATTATTCCCCCTAACAATGAATTTAGCTACTCATAATACAAGAAGAAAAGTAGGAATTTGTCTTAGAATACATCATCAAGTTTGAAATAAAGATGTAGAAGAAAAAGTAGAATTCTTGCACCAAGATCTCCTTCCTCTTCCAATGAATGCTTCTAATCTTCAATTGTTTGGTGTTAATCTTCTTGAATTTCTCTTTTGAATCTCCCTTCTTGTTGTCTTCTCTCCAATATGTCAAGAACCCTTCAAAAGCATGAGGAAGATGTATTTATAGATGCCCCCTCTGTTTTATGTAGAAGTAGGGTTTTTATGGATTTAAAAATGGCCAAAAAAATGCGCCCTAAATCATCAATCGCAGTGCCTAGGCACTACTAGATAGTGCCTAAACGCTGGCTATAGCGCCTGGGCGCTGTAGTTTCGGCGCCTAGGCGCTATGGTTGCGGTGCCTAGGCACAACCTCTCGGGTCCAAATTTCATCTTTTTTTCAGTTTTGTGGCGCCTAGGCACTATGAATGCAGTGCCTAAGCGCCGTCTTTCTACCTCAATTTTGTGTTTTTGGCCTCTTCGTCCACTTTAATACTCTTTTCACATCGCTTTTCCTAATCTTCAAAACAACACTAACAAACACATCAAAAACGTTCTATACTCACAAGATCTAGCAAAAATCAAGCTAAAATTGTGCAAAAATCATGAATGTAACAAACTCATCAGATAGTATAAATTTCAAACAGTTTTTCCAACCGATTGAGACTTGACAACAATACAAGTGTTAAGAAAAATGTCAAAAATCAGTGTACAAATAGCAAAGTTTAATCGATATGAGCCTTGCTACATGTACACTTTACCATGTGACATTACCCTGTTGGATAGTTTAAATTTCAAATAGTTTTCCCATCCAATTGACACTTGACAACAATGCAAGTGTCAAACAATATGTAAAAAATTAGTGTACAAATAGCAAAGTTCAATCGGTGAGAACCTTGCTACATTTACACTATGGCGTACACTTTAATTTACACTTTACGTCGTGACATTACCCTGTTGGACAGTTTAAATTTCAAACAATTTTTCCATCCAATTGACACTTGACTACAATGCAAGGGTCAAACAATGTGTCAAGAATCAGTGAACAAATAGAAAAGTTTATGTTGGACAGTTTAAATTTCAAAGAGTTTTCCCATCCAATTGACACTTGACAACAATGCAAGTGTCAAACAACGTGTCAAAAATTAATGTACAAATAGGAAAGTTTAATCGGTAAGAACTTTGTGACATGTACACTATGGTGCACACTTTAATTTATACTTTGCCACGTGACATTACCCTATTCCAAAGTTTAAAATTCAAACAATTTTCCCATCCAGTTGACCCTTGACTACAATGCAAGCGTCAAACAACGTGGCAAAAATTAGTGTACAAATAGCAAAGTTCAATTGGTAACAACCTTGCTACACGTACACTATGGTGTACACACTTTAGTTTACACTTTGCCACGTGACATTACCCTGCTGGACAATTTAAATTTCAAACAATTTTCCCATATAATTGGCACTTGTAAACAATGCAAGAGTCAAACAACATGCAAAAAATCAGTGTATAAAAAGCAAAGTTCAATTGATAAGAACCTTGCTACATGTACACTATGGTGTACGCTTTGGTTTACACTTTACCATGTGACATTACCCTGTGGACAGTTTAAATTTCAAACAGTTTTCCCATCAAATTGATACATGATAATAATGCAAGTATCAAACAATGTGTCAAAAATCAGTGTACAAATGGCAAAGTTCAATCGGTACGAACCTTGCGACATGTACACTATGGTGTACACTTTAGTTTACACTTTGGCATGTGTCATTACCCTGTTGGACAGTTTAGATTTCAAACAATTTTCCTATCAAATTGACACTTGACAACAATGCAAGTGTTAAACAGCGTGTCAAAAATTAGTGTACAAATAGTAAAGTTCGATCGGTAAGAACCTTGCGAAATGTACACTATGGTGTACACATTTTAGTTTACACTTTACCACATGACATTATCCTATTGGACAGTTTAAATTTCAAACAATTTTCCCATCCAATTGATGTTTGACAACAATGCAAGTGTTAGACAATGTGAAAAGAATCAGTGTACAAAAAATAAAGTTCAATTGGTAAGAACCTTGCTACATGCACACTATCATGTACACACTTTAATTTACACTTTGCCATGCGACATTATTATGTTGGACCGTATAAATTTCAAATAACTTTCCATCCAATTGACCCTTGACTACAATGCAAGGGTTAAACAACGTGTCAAGAATCAGTGAACAAATGCAAAGTTTATATTGTACAGTTTAAATTTCAAATAGTTTTCCCATCCAATTGACCCTTGACAACAATACAAGTGTCAAACAACGTGTCAAAAATCAGTGTACATATAGGAAAGTTCCTTTAGTAAGAACCTTACGACATGTACACTATGGTGTACATTTTAGTTTACACTTTGTCACGTGACATTACCCTATTGTAAAGTTTAAATTTCAAACAATTTTCCCATCCAGTTGACACTTGACAACAATGCAAGTGTCAAATAGCATGTCAAAAATTAGTGTAAAAATAGCAAAGTTTAATCGGTAAGAACCTTGCGACATGTACACTATGGTATACACGCTTTAGTTTACACTTTACCACATGACATTACCCTATTGGAGATTTTAAATTTCAAACTATTTTTCCATTCAATTGAACATTGACAACAATGCAAGTGTAAAACAATGTGTAAAAAATCAGTGTACAAAAAGCAAAGTTCAATCGGTAAGAATCTTGCTACATGTACTGTAATGCCCCGACCCCTAGTGGTCCGGAATGCTACTTACTTTACTTAGCTTAACTGGTGGTTTAGTAACAAGTGTATACGTTTTAGCGGAAGCTTACATCTTCGGATAATAATTTAAATAACAATACTTCAAATACTTTAAACAAAAACACTGAATCATTTTTCAAAACAACAAAATGTAATTTATTTGAAGAAAACATAACTTGTTCTCGTATTTTGCGTTATTCAAAACTTTAAAGAAATAACATTGGAAAACATTTTATAAAAATAAATCCAATAACTTATTCACCGAATTTCCATGGGCTCGTTCCATCACTCT